GTCATAAAATATTGAAAAAGATGTGGAACATATTTTATGCAGTATAGGCAGCCTTAATAAATTTGCGGACACGATGTATTATGAATAAAAACCTCACAGTTGTAAGAAAGCTCATAATTAGCAACGTTTTATAACCGAAAGCTTCCCTTTCTTTGAGTATAAATTTTATAGAAGGCGTAGTTTGCTATCAAACAAGCACAAGAAATAATTTTTTCGTGCTATTTTCCATAAAATATATTCGAATTTATAAAGGCAGTCACAATCAATGATAAAAAGACATACTACTTAAGTAGCCAATTTTTACAATAAATACTTTTTGCTGGTAGTCAGAACGAAGCTAATTAAAAGGCCCACATCCTATTTTGACGGAATAAACTTCATAATAGACTACAAGATAATCAGTATCACAACCTGAGTCAATACCGATTAGCGAAAGAGTATCAATCTTTCGCCTGTTTCGAAATGTTGCGTGATCTGTGGCGTCTACTGCACATTCAAAAGATATAAAGGAGCAGAAAATAAACGCAATCTTACCTGGACCAGATGTCTGACCCATCTATCCTAGCACTGTCGGCAAAGACAAGGGAGAGTGGAATGGTCATTTACGGCTCATTAGCCGTTACTAGCGAGTCACACCCAACCTCAAATGGTGCACATCTAACAGTTGAATCCCCGATCTTTTGATCAGAAATGCAACGCTCCAACTATTGAAAAGCCGATACACCACTTGGAGTCGGGTATGACTGGCCGATGACGGCTAATGAGCCAGAAATGGCCATTCCAGTCTCCGGGTGTGTGGTTATCAGAGGTTACCCAGCGGCTGTTGGTCTTATTCATCTGAACAAATTGTTCACACTTAGCATACTGTACGCAACTTAACTTCATTGTTTAAACATAACGCATATAACCAGGGGGCGGGGCGTTAGGAGCCAAGGGTTGGTTATTCAGGTACACATCACCTTCTTCAGCAGCTTTCAACAATTCCAAAGTCTCCTTGTCTTCCCTCTGCTCCCCGACAGCTGCCGCACAGCATTCCCTTGCCGTGAGACCTCGAATGTCCCGTAAACAAGGATTCACAGAAAGGCCTAGACTGCGCTGTTTCAGACTGAGTAGATACTTCACAAAAACCCCCTGCCGTCCGCTGGCGGCAACATGCAGTGGTGTACTCTCCAGACCCGCGTTCGGGTCGGCGCCTCGATTGCACAAAGCCATCATAGCTGCAGGATACTGGTAGTAGACAGCCCAGGAGAGCAAAGACTGGCCGGTGAGGTCGAGCCAACAGCTCTTTAGCTGGACGCAGGTCAACGCCGTCAGGATATCCACTATATTGACCTTGTGCGCGATAGCATGTTCCAGCGCAAGGTGAAATCGGAGGCTGGCAAGTTCCGCATCATTGGACAGACCCAGGGTATCCATAACGGACCGAAAGGCTGAAAGCCCATTGGCTACCAGGGGCGAAAAGTAGGCTGAAAAGGCACCAGGCGAACCGTCATGGCCCTGAATAATACTAGTGCGGAGCTTAATATATTCCTTCCATTGTTGGTAGCTTTGTTTTAACTGCAACTCAGTGATACCAGACCGCTGACTATCAAGAAGACTTTGTGAACAAGAGGGTATGGACTCGTGGCTGGTGAAGGAATTTGAAGACAAGGCAGACGGCGGCTGTGCAGGTTCTGCCATTAAGCCTAAACCGGGGTCTTCCAGTGGTCTTCCAGGTATTGGCTCCAGTTCAGTTTCTGTCGGCATTGTAAGTGAAAGGTGTACTAGGCCATCAATAAGATTCAGGATTGGCATTACCATTTCATATCCTGAAAAATCAAATAGGGTATACTTAGGAGGAAAAATGAATAAACTGATTTTTAATAGATGCTATAAATATTTCAAAAATGGTACTTTTATAAACATTTTGACTTCAGGGCGCATTCTTCCAAAGGCAAACTTTTCGTTAAAAACAAACACTGTTAGTGATACAGGGGAACCTCGGTTGGGGGTTTAATCCGTCCCGGCACCAAGCTCATCACGTGAAACGCTCGTCTTGTGTCAGGTAACCAATTAAACTGCACCAGTTTACTGATTGGCTGCAGACGAACGAGGACCCACGCACTGAAAGCAAAACCTTATGGCGGACACAGGCACACACACGCACTGACACCTCGTTAACTGAACGGAAGCTCGTCAAGCGAAACAAATTGTCTGCTAGTGGCTCGCTCGTTACTTGACATGCTCGCAGATTGGGCTGCTTGTCGTCCGAGGCTCGGCTTTATTTGCGCGTTGTTGCGACTGTTGAAAAAATGCGCGCTCAGGGGTACCAGCGGCAGTCTGGTTCTCAACGAATCCCAGCTATCCGGACAGACCAATCAACCTCATGACCGACTCAGATATGCCCTCGGCTAAGCTGCTATGACAAATCCCCCACAATCGGGTCGCTGATCTTCGCGACGCCGGACGTGTGCTATTGGTCTGGCTGCAAGCTGGTTTCAAAATGTTCCCCCAGCTTTCGGTAACGAATAAAATATCTTGCCTGCTAGTGCCCAACTTAGCGACCTTTTATAAGAAAGCAGACCTGAATGTCGTAGTGGCTAGGGTCTTCTGTGACTATAGCTGCCGTGGCATTAGAGATCCCAACGTACTCCCAACGCAACTACTAGTTGAGTTGATTGAGTTCAACCGTTTGGAAATTCCTACGGTAATGTACCCCGTTCTTTTCTTCAGTGTCACCTACCCAATAGAAAAACGTTGCTGACAACCTTGAAACGCGTTAAGCTTGATTTCATCCAACAATCAGAGACCATCGTATTCATGCTCTGGTTCCGATCCAATCCAGTAGTGCGGTCCCTCCATTCCTGTCAGCACCCGGACGTCTTTCCTAATATTTGATATCTTAGTTCCTCCATCACCAATGGTATCTCCTCAGCCAAACCAACAAATACCGACACGTGACATGGATTTGCCGTCGAGGTTTGGTTTAGACGAACCACGGGCTATGTCCAACCGCCCCTAACATACTGGTCCTTTTCAGCCAGCTACAGCCGCTCACACTTTCGTTGGTACGTTTCCTATTCACTCATTTAACTTCCCTTCCTCTGTTCGGCGCCTGTTGCACATCTGCGGCAGTGTGGTTCTCGACCAATCACAACTATCCGAACAGACCAATCAGCTTCAAGGCCGATTCTGATATGTTCTTTTTCAGAGTAATGCGACACTTCTCCCATTGAAGAGAAGACGACTCGATCGCTGGGACAATCGTTTTATTCGTCTTATGTTTCGAGGTCCGTCGCGGATTCGTCATCAGAGACATAGATAGCAGTAGCAGATACGGATGGCGTATGCCGCATAAAATTTGATGAGGCCAAAATTCTCGCAAGAGGTGAAAATCGGGTGAGCCGAGAATTACTGGAGTCATGGTTCTCGGACCCCCAATCCATAAAGAAGTGCAGTGATTTGCCCAATCCATATTCGGTGCTGAGACTCTATTTGGCCAAAGCAATTCGTCACTTGGGGAACGTACATGCCACCGCATCATCTTTCGTCAACACCGGAGGGCCAGATGGCCGAGCAATCACCACGCCCGAGTTCACCACGCGTGATGAAAGTTCAGCAGGTCAAAACCCGCATACCGTTCAACAAATTATCAACATGCAAGTAGGCAATTAGCGTCAATTGTCGTTGTATGCTTGCAGTAATGACTGTATCCTATAAATACTGCAAACTCCTGTGCATACGCTACCCGTATCTGCTACTGTTATCTGACTATTTCTCTGATGAAGAATCTGCGAGGGATCTCGGAACTTCAGGCGAATAAAAGTATTGTCCCAGCGATCGAGTCGTCTTCTTCTCAATTACTTCTTGGGACTCGCATGTTCGCGTATATCGGCAATTTCTCCCATTCTCGGGAGGCTGGCTCTCGCAATATCTGCAGTGTGGTCTCATTCAAGTACCACTTCGTTTCAATCCGTTCTTCCAGCTTTCAGCACAGAGTACAATATCCTCTCTGTTGACGCCCAACTTGCACTCTTTTTATTCGAGATCCGGGCTGAAGGTCGTAATATAGAGGGTCCTCCCATGGCGTAAGTTGCAGCTATAAATTCTTCTACATAACAGAAGTCACCGACCAACTGTGAAAGTGTCAAGAAAAGTAACTCTCTAAGGAATTAAAGACATGCTGCAGTGTCTTACCTTGGTCCATGGCGTACCCATCTACATTTGGGCTCAAATAATTTTGTTTCTAGAAATTGCTTGTATATGATACTCTCAACAATACGAGCATTTATGCATTTTCGAGCCCTTGGCTGATGCTTTATGCAATAGATTATGGCATTCTAAAGGTTTTAAAATTCACCCAATAATGCATACCAAAATTTGGAGAGTTCTGTGGTGGTTTTGGCGTCACTGGTGATGCATCAGCGGGGTTGCTGGTCGGTCCCCTTTCATTCTCGAATCGTTTGAATACGGTAACCAATAGGTCGTGTGAAATCGGTCTTTGGATAAGAGATTTCAGAACTGATGGATGTTGATAACAAATGCTCAAAACTAGATCGACGACCAGGTGAGCATGAGAGCCACTCAACTGACGTCGAGCCCGACCGCCAGTTGCATCCTCCGCAGCTGCTGATGCTCCTAGAGAAGTGAGAATAGATTTTTGAAGTGAACATTGTATCTATTCAGAGTGACAGGACCAGGCTAATAGTAAAGACTATCAATCGGTCATGAAAGCTTGCTAGTTGATACATAAGTCATAACCCTTTAACTATACTGCGTAAAACAGGGCCTCGAATACGGCTAGGTAAAGATCGCCACAAAGTCAAAATTAACCGTTGCTGTCTCTTGACCTTCGGGTACATTTTGCATAAAATACAATTGTCGGCGCATAAGCTATAAGCACGTAATTGAACCGCGGATTAATGTAAAACGCAACTTCGGATTGAGTTTCGGATTTAGACGCAGATCGTCCCGATTGACAACAAAACCACAATTGCTCTTTCCAGCAGCCTGACTTTCGGGCACATTTATAAAACAAATACGACATTCCAGTGATCACGCGTTCACTATCTGTGCAAAAAAAGCCGGGATCTGGTTTTTTTTGCCGTCTCTTTTCAACAGCATGTTTTCTAAATAAATTTAATACGATAACAGTTCAGGTTCAAATGCAGTTGAAAATCTTGATGGAAAATTCAGTGACATAGATTCAACTAATTCTACGTACTACTGCTTGACCGGTAGGCACTATACGGCCTATCTACTAAAACCAGAAACAACACGAAATTTAAATAGACGTTATTCAAGTATAAGTAGGAAAAAACAAAGAGAATAAATCTTAAGAAAATACTTTGATGTCATCCGACTTACGAGCAACATAAAAAAATAATGCATTTTTAAGTATGCAATGTGGAAGATCATGAGATGGGTAGGCCAAATTTGAGCCCGCAATCAAAATGTTTGAGTGCGGCGGCGAACAAAACAGTTCACCTTCAATGGACACCAGTAAACAGCGTGCCACTACTGAAAAAAACTTAAGCAATCTAGAGAATCCTTTGTTAAACAGGGTTAATTTGATCAATTATACGATGTAAACACGCCTGATGACGGGCTGGTGAACAATTCTGGGACAATACACCAACATGCAGTTTTACGTTTCGGAAAACTTTGTTTATATTATGTTATCTATACACTGCTAGCGTTACGAGACACACTTGTCTCGTTCTGTATCATTTTGAACTCAACCAGCGGCCGCCTAACAGCTAGTATTCTAGGCAAAATAACACTAACACTGTTAAAATATCCGATCGCAATCCACGGGACAAGTAAGCTGGGGCTTAGTAATTAGATCATTAAACTTTTAATCAGCAGGTCGTAGGATCGATCATTCGGATTTACACAACCTGGGTTAGATGCGGTTGGATTATGTCGGCTACTAAACAAAGAAAGTGCTATTACAGTCTCTTTTTAGCAATGTTTTTCCGTTTATAATACTAGTCGCTGAGCGGCTGCTGGCGTGGCTTGCAAGTGCGCCCAAAGGCTACACTGAGACGAATTTGTCCCGTAATGCAATTGGTGAGTTCCCTCCGCCCCTATCACACAAACACTAGGCCGTTCCGGGTAATTTACTTGAGGATTTTGTAATTTTTAATCAGACAAGCCAGGCAACGGCAATAGCAGTTCGCCACCTGAAATTCGCTCCAGCTTTAGTATTGGGAAAACAGCAATTTTTCTCTAGTTAGTTTCACGCAAAAATTAGCAAATTTACCATTGTCGTAGACTTTGTGAGAATATGTAAAGAATATGGTTCTATAAAGATGCCTTAATGAGAAAAATCATAACAAGGACACGAAATTCAATGAAAGTTTAGAACCAACCAGTTATTAGCAATTTCAACAAACTAAACCTTAATGAGAATATAAGAGATCAAGACACTCGCCGCGCCTTTGGTATTTACTGGAATACACATGTTTAGGTTAAATCCATAACAGATTAAACGTTTTCCTGCCCTAATAAACAAATGATGAGCCTCAACCCGTTACCTAATGCCTTAAAACACTAAATACCTTACCGTGCGGTCCCTCTGCGGCACTCGGAAGCCGGTAACCCAGATCTCGTTGGTTTGAAGACATTGGTGTAAGAAGAGTTAACAAACTGTCCAAAACGTTCCCATTTTCTGTGATTTTGTCCAAGGGATTAAGGTTCGACGGCAGTCGCCGACAAGATATCAGTATGTTTCGAAGACTTTCCAAACTGCCACAAGTAACATTTACGTCGTTATGCTGAACAAGACCAACTAATTTTGAAATCCAGTTTTGCAATTTATCGCTGCAAGCTGAAAAAGCTTCACTTTCTTTTAGCGCATCTTGGCCCTGTTCCGTTTGCTTTCCAATCCACACGTCGATATAATTTGAAAGTCGCCCCACCACATACAGTCCTGATCTAAATTTGAAAAGATCCAGGACAAACGTTAGAATCGGGCATTTTATAATTCTCTTCGAAATCATCGTATACAATACGCTTTTCGTTGGATCAATGAATATGGTTGTTTGTTTATTGGTCAAATGGGTTATCATATTTAAGAAATTAATAGAAATTGTCAGGTCTACAAATGTTAAAAGGTTGAAAACTTATCGCATTTCTACTGCAAAGTCCTAGGCCGAATTTGGAAACTAGGACAGCTGTTCATGGACCATTGAGCTTACCACAGTTTCGAGTGGATCTTCTTTGTCATTAAAAATGAATATGTACCAATTGCCTTACTTAATACGACTGCCAGTGAAATCCTTATATTTTTACTTCAAGATAAATAACAAAGTACATTTTCGTTCAGCAACGATGTTGCCAGGGCGACCAACACTCCAACGAACGCAAATTTAATCTATCGACAATTTCAACACGCATAATCCAAGATATTCAAGACTTTTCCTACAGTCGCCTTCATATGCAGTGACATTCAACTCATACACTTCTGCATACTAAAGAAGATGCACAGTTATTCAATTGATTTGAAATATATCCAACATGTTTAATTTGATAAACGATTGTGGGAAAATCCTTTATATCTATTATCAGGTCCTAAGTTAACGACGCAGCTCTAATCTCCACTACTGTATATTTAGGCCGATGAAACCACTTTCTACTGCTTAAAGTGTGAATTATTGACAGATTCCAATCCTGTAGCAAGAAAATTTGCTTATTTATTTGAAAAGCGCTACAGAAGAAAGTATAATGAGAGACCTGTGAAGGTTTATAGTGAACAGGACATTCAATCTACAAACTAATAATAGAAGGCAAAAGAAATCATATCAGAATAAATTCATATTTTGATCCGTCATTGTGCAGGGTACATTTCGTATCTTGGTGGTGGTTGATCAAATCCTGAGAGTGAAAGACCGTATCTCTATTTTATTAGGATAGATGAGCATTAGGGAGCAACCAAAAATATAGTTAAAGATGCATAAATGTATTCCATAAAAACAATAAAGTATACAGAAAGGATAAGTAAAAATGAGCTCCAGATATTTCAGGTATTCTAATGTAAACGATCGCCCAAATTTAACCATTGCGCCTTAATAGTTTTCAATTGCATTAAGAATTCATCTTCAAAGCATAATAACAAGTCAATGATTATACCGGCAACTATATATAGTGTCCGCGTACATTCCTGTTTACCCCATTATATCAGGTGTTATAAACATCAGCCTCAAAAATACCAGTATTCCAATGAAAACCAGAGCTCATCGTCCCGTACCTAAGAAAATATTAAAGTTGACGTTTGCAAATATATTTCGGTCGTTCTTAAGAACATATGAAAACGTGCTTCTTTAACGTTTTGCTACTGCAATGACCGGCATGGACGTATATACAATAGCATCCATGGCCATTCAATGAAATGCCTGAATTCCGAACTAAATTTTGATAACTTCTTGGACAGGATATTTAGAAATATGAAAGATGTCAAAATTGACTTCAGTGGTAGTGGTAGGGCCTTCAGCTTAGAAGAGTTCCGACTCTTAATTGGAGAGCTTTGTAAACACTGTCCAGCGTGAAATATAGTGGAGCTAGTTACGCGTATGCTTCAGTCATTTATATCTCCCTGCTCGTCTATTTATGACCTTTTGAATGATTTACGTGCAAGACCACGGCTGTCAAACTATCGTCTATGTTTTATTTTGCTGTCACTTTGCTGTGATGTGCAGGTTTTTCTTCCTTATGTTCGTTTTTGGCTTTTAAGTGTATAATGCTCTTTAGACGTTCCTATCTTGAGCGTCAAGTCTCTGCAGCTGTTAGTGCCCCATCAGTAGTTGTGACATTATTTGATAATTCTATATATATTCAAGTGAATAAAAAACGGTTATATAATTTTTCATTCTAAAATAATTTCATTAACTGGACTTACAATTTGAAAATTCGGAAATTTTGAATACTGACTGACATCAATACCGTTGTCATAAGCTTCACTTGAAATGTACAATTGTTTGAATATATATATAGAAGAAATATTAATATAAACTAAGAGTGAGTTTTTTCTATCACAATTCTGATCGAATAAAAAAGCTTTAACACGAAAAATTGAGACGCACATCAATGTATCAAGGTGTATTGCATTCCAGTTTGTCAGGACAAATCCATATATATTATGCAGGGCACCCGTGAGCTTTGACACGCAGACATCACGTCGGGCATACTCCTCAAGCAACTTTAATTGTTATCCAAAAAGGAATACCAATTACTTTTATTGTCTGCTGCGCCAGGTCATTTTCAATTTGGTCTCTGAGATCACAAGTGTTCATTCGC